TTGAATTTTATTTATTTACAAACAAATATTCGAATATACTATTTTCAAACGGAAACCCTAATAAATACAAACGAATAAATCTGTAGCCAAATCCAAACGAGGCACCTAAATTTGACAGTATTACAATAATCAGAAAAAAGTATTTGAAAGTTCACGTATTTTTTAAAAGAAACCGACCTTTTTTTTTAGATTAACTTATATTCATTAAAATTTAATATATAAAGAATTTTTTTAGGTCAGAGTGATAAAAATCTCACGTATAGTATCAGACGGGAAAAAGGGGTAAGTAAAATCGAAAAATTTTTCAAAATTTATTCCTGAATTAACTGATTCAAAACATTTATTAATTTAAAATTTTTTTTTTTTTACAATTTTGTCCCTTTTGAAATAAATAAAATTTAAAATAATGAAAATCATTTCATAATAAATAAAAATATAATATCGCAAAAAGAAATTTGTGATTTTCTGAATTTTACGAGTATGGTTAGTTTTTTTTTTTCCCTTGGCTTTTATGAAAAGTTTTTTAGATATAAATATAAAGCATGAATCAAATCAAAACTTCATCAAAACATACTTACTACTCCATCAAAACATACTTATTACTCCTATTAAAAAAATATATAAATTCGCCATGAAATTTTCCATAATAATTGCAATCATCTTTGGCCTATTAATATCGATGGCGCTCACGCTCATTGAAGGTAAACATGAATGATCATGACAAAATATTTAAATATTTAATTAATATCTGCTCTAATAACTTTGTATATATTTTTTGGGTGGAATAAATAAGCCGATCATACCGTGTGGATACAAAACAAGGTATCGGCTGGTGCATATACACGTGTTCAAGCTTCCGTAGTAAACGGAGGGGATGGAACATTCGCCGACGAATCTGAAAGGGCTCACAAAGGTTATTCTTTGAATATTCCTGATCGTGTAAAACAATATTGGCTCGGTTTCGGCGTTGAAGGATCTTTTGAACACGATAAATGGCGTGGCCCATTCACTAATGATGGGGATAGGTGTTTTCACTTTCATGGTGTTTTAGAAAATTGGGAAGTCTTTGATTGTTAAACCAATTTTATTCGCTGAGCGGCAAAATAATCATTCATTATTTTTTTTTAACGATTTCTTTTATTATGTCCATTCATTTAATTCATAATAATTTTTAAATTTGGCACCTCCATAAAGATTATAATTAGATATAATTATTTATATATTTTTAAACTTTATTTTATTTTATATATTTTCATAACTATTTTTAAACTGATAAAATAAAAAGATACAGAATACTTTTACAGCATTATTATGTAATATCAAAATATAATATTATGCCCCGAGCGATCGTATATCGTAAATATCGAATTAATATACACATTACGCTCCGGGCTATCCCGCCTTTAAAAATCAATTGTATGACTGAAATTTCCCTAGGTGATCGTAATTTTCTCCGGTATAGATTAACTCCTTAAATTTCACCAAGCTATAATTATCACGAGTTATTGATATGATAAAAATGTACAAATTTGATTGAAATGTTGTCTGAAGATGATCTTCGGATGTCTGAAATTGAGATTCAATTTCAGTTAACTGAACTGAACTTCGAATCTCAATTTCAGACACCCGAAGATTATGATCAAGTAGCGCAGTAGTTATCTGCATGCGCATAACCTTTATTTACCAAATTTAAAAAAAAAACCTTTGTTACCAAATTAAAAATCCCCTAAATATACCATCCGGACAAAATTATTTATTAAATATAAAAAAATTATATGAAAATGAAATATTCTAAGTATCAAATTGACAACTATTTCAAAATATATGATAATTCAAAAAAAATTCAATTAAAAAATTTATTTGATTAACGGAGCTGAGGTTATTTAATCCTTTGCAAAAATGTAATTA